ATGGCAAATCAAAAACGGATGATAACTAAGCACTATGACACTTTCAGAGCTTTGTCTAACAAGTCTATAATCCTGTATCCAACTTAACCTTGAAGACTGGACATTTCCTAAAAGGAACTACACCCCACGATGGAGACTGCAGCATTATGCGTTCTCTCCCCTCACTGCCTTTCTGAGGTACAGCACTGACATTGTTTGCATAGCTTCCTTCTTGGACACCACAGTCCCTACACACACAGCTCCACTGCAGCTCTCTTGGGCAGAAGGAGAGTCCACGATGCCTGCAGACAGGTTCTGTTTCTACTGTTGGACTGTAGGAACTACCATATCAGCAGGAGAGGCAGAAGCACAAGCACAGTAAGATTGTACTGTATGTCCCAGGGCAAGGCAGCAAAGCATTCTGCACAGCACAAAATGAGTGTTACAAATACTACAAGAATATTATTCCTGGTAATTGCAATACCGCTTACTAATGAATACATTTAGATTGCTTTACCTATGCGGTGCACATGGCTACTTTAAGGATACCACTTCAGGAGCAAAAAACTAAAGCTTCACCTAAACCTTTCATACTGAAATTCTTGACCTCAAATCAAACAGCACACAGATGGGCTATCCTGGCTTTAACAACTGAAAGCAACTTCAAAACCCATATGAACACAACGAAAGCTGGTATGTATCTGCCAACAGCAGAGCAAAACATACCTGTGTGTACACAAGGAAGTTGTTTCTAATTCAGATTACTCTATTTTTTTTCCAAACAGCATGATCTGTTTTCTTTTTACTACCTTTCCTAAAGACAAACTTAAGCTATATCAGGACTCCACGACCATCAGTGACTTGGTTTTCACTGTGCCATACTACAGGTTTATCTCCAGGAATGCTTTCATTTGCAAAACAGATGCCTGGAGACTTCATAATGGAAACTGAACATTTTTGAATAGCAGTTCTTCTTCACATTTTGTACTCCTTGACTACCCTCTTCAACTACATGCCACAACACAAAACCTGCCTTGCTTGCTCATCCTATCATATTGCCACAACTTTTATTGGCAAAATAAGTCTTAGGAAATATTCCACACCCCCCCCAATATAATTACATCTGGGTACCCAGAAAATGAATTCACGGTAGTCAAGCAATAACATCTATATTGTTTCCAAAACTCCTGCACATTTACAAGTTTCTCTTTTGCAAACACAGATCAATTCAGTGTTACCAGCAAAAAGTAACTTGATAAAGGACACTACCTCCTATAATCAGGGGAAAATTTATACAACAACAGCAACAAAATCCCTAGTATAGAAACCCAGGATGCCAGTAATTCCTTCAGTCATTCCTGAGGAACATCAGCATCACTGTTTCTAGTGCTGCCTGTTATAGTCTCTTGGGAAGCTATTATGACCCATAAGACAGATGCACCATGGAATCTCCTCAATAATAATTGTACAATTAGCCAAAATCACAGGAGACTGCATTCAGTAGCTTGGCATTTCTTAAAGAACAACTTATTCAGTGGCAAAACAAATACCCTTTTCTTCTTCTTCCTCCTCCTCCTCCTCTTCTTCGTCATCTTCATCACTTTCCTCAGCTTTGTTTTCAGTTTCAGGTTGCTTCTCATCTGTTTTTTCAGACGACATTGTATCTTCTTTCGATGATTGAAGAGATGACATGATGTATGGTTCTGTAAAGAGCAGTTGGCAGAAACCATCAGCAACGCAGCAATATACATGAAAAATACAGGAATTTTAGAATAATAATAATCCTGTGCAGCAGAAGCAATGTGCTCTTACTGGGATTGTTCACATTCTCTAATCCCTAAAGTGTTCTGCATACGCGTAATACGTAGAATTTTTCAGGAGAAGCTGCCAACCATTCTGCAACTGGTATGGTTAGGAACAGTCTAAAAGGTTATAAATTCCTTTCACACACACGACTTCAAGCTGCTTTGTGAAGCATTCGGAAACGCCCACTCAAAGCAGCTGCTACTGTTATCTACTAAAAACTGCAGCGTTTTATGAGAACACTGTTTTACTACTCCCTGAACTCAATTATTATTCCTGACCATGGTTAACTATGCATGCAAATTTCCTAGAAACTTAAATTCTACATATTTAGAGGGGAAATGGGAACAGAAGAATAAGAAAAGAAAGTTACAAGCAATTCAGAAAAGAATTAACACTTCCAGAATCCAAACAGTTGCTGCATCTCAGGGCAAGAAAATGCTTTGAATGGTTTTAATTTGTAGATCTACAGCAAAAAAAAAGTATAAATGCTTCATACTTAGCATGTGTAAGAGCCTTTTCTTAGCATTTATAGTCGCTTAAATGTTAACTTTAAAATTATCTTACTTTCACGTGTACCGTTTCCCTACTAACAGAAAACGCATATCTAATAAAGGAAGATAACCATATGTTTCATTTGAGAAAAGTTCTAGTTCTCAACACTTTTCACTGTTCAGATCTGGAACAAAATACAGCATCAGTTGTATAAGCACTTGTGGAAAAAATATCCCAAGATTAACCATTTTCTTTTTTCAGTTATTAAAGCAAGTATTACCTGCAAGAGGTCAGATCCCATAAATAATACTTAAATCAGCTTCTTACAAGCAGCATGAACAAGTGCCAGAGAACAGCAGAGTTCCAAATGACAGAAAATGTGAGTTAATATTATCAACAGTAAGGGGAAAAAATAAAGTTTCC